AAAAAAAAAAAAAAAAAAAAAAAAAAAAAAAAAAAAAAAAAAAAAAAAATATTAAACGAATATATGCAGCAGCTAGGCTAAAAAGCAAATTAGAAATAGAGAAAACAACAGCCCAAGACGTAAAAGGAATATTTCCAGTAAAGAACAAGGCACTCAGACCATCGAATACGATATTGACAAAACAAACATGGATCGCTAACAAAAAGAAGAACAAAAGTGATTCAGCCAACAGAAGGAACGGCAGAAGAGGAGGAAGAGAGAGGGAAATGGAAATTACTCAAAACCCCAAGGCAATCATGGAGAGCACGAGAGGGCTTCTTCTCCTTATGCTCTGGAGATAACTGAAAGCCATCGAAGTTCAAGCGCCATGAGAGGTCGCCGGCGGTGGACTGGAGCAACAGCGAGCTCTCCTCATCATTCTCTACGGATACAACGGGCGGTCCCATTTCTAAGATCAGTGAAAATGCGAGAATAGTAACAATGGAGGAATGAAGAAGAAGAAGAAAGGGGAGAATTTTGGTGGTGCAAATGGTAAATTTAACGAGAATTTGTGGGCATTTTGGCAAAATGGAACTTCGGTTCGTTCACTGTGTAGTTCGAAATGCCTGCACCAATAACGTGACTGTATTTCCAAAAATAAAAAATAAAAATCAAATGCCACGTGTACGGTTCCACTGCTCTGCCTCTAGAATATTATTACCATCTTTGACTAAGCTTTCACTTTCCCTTTTTATAATGTTAAATTAAAAAATTAACCTAACATTTTCTCAAATGAAAAAATATTTATATTATTATTATTATTATTATTAATTTACTGTTTTATATATACGTGTTTTTTTAATTTAATTAATGCAAAAGTACATGATATTTTTTGAAACAATGTGAATTAATAAACATTAAGAATAATTAAATCTTATTAGAATAATAATGCATCAAAAATTAAATCTTATTAGGATACATTTAAAAATGGATGTATTATATTTTTTCTAATATATTGTCCATAATATAAGTCTTCAACAATTAATTTATTCGTTACACTAATTATTTCAATAATAATATTAAATTTATATTGAATGAAAATTAAAAAAATTAATTTTAATTTGGTGTCTAATATAATTCTATAAATTTAGAAAAATCAACACAAATGGAAAGTATTTCTGTAAAAAAAAACATCTAAAATTGTCGTACTGAATCTTGGAGATGCAAAATGATCTGAGCCGCAGGATCGATCAAGAATATTAAAACTGAGTGGGCCCACGACTGCCCCTACCTTTTGGGACTAAAGATCTTTTATAAGAGAATTTTTTTAAAGTGCTACTAAGGTATATGGAAGCTTCTTGGACCCTCATTCTCTTTGGTTCGTTGGATTGGTGAAACTTAACTGGAGTCGTTGGATTGAGAGGTCTCGTTGGCCCCACTGGATATATATATATATATTTACATTTTTAAAATTATAAATAAAGGCGGCTGAGATTTGCGTGGGGGCAATTTGTGGAATAAAAAATCTGTTTGGTTACGTGGATAGCAGTAGTGATTCAAGTGGATAAGAGTCATATCAAATGTGGTCCGTGGGAATAGCCGAGTAGTGGCGTCTACATCACATGGTCGGGATCCTTTTGATGAGGACTTTTTTGTCTTTATATTCTAAATATTAAATTTTATTTTATACTTCCATTAAAAATTATAACTTTTTTTTAAGCATAAATTTCATAATAATTATAGTAAAAATCGAAATCTTAAGGTATTATTTTATTTTAAGTAAAATTATAAAATTTAAACTTGAATAAATATTTTGATAAATTATATTATTGATATGTTTAATAAATCAATTAATACAAAATTATATGTGTTTCAATAATTAATACATTATTTTGATGTTTAGTAAATGAGTCATAAAAGTATGTACACGTTTGAAATAGCTGGATAAATAATAATTTAATGCAAACAAAAAAAAAATCCTAATATCGATGGCAACTGTTGAAATAATTAAAAAAAAAAAGGGGGGGTTTTAATCATAGTAACTACATTAATAGATCTTGAAAAAATAAAAGATTGATATTAATATGCATAATAGGCTAGTTTGACAGCGACTTCCACTAATACCTTACAAAATCCTTTAAAAAAATATTTGGGAGGAATTTGTGTTTTATTGATGATTAAGACATTATATCAGTATGACTCGATTTATTAAAAATTAAATAATATATAAAATAGGTTAAAAATGTCAAATTTATACTATATTTGTGAAAAATTTTAAGAGTGAAAATTTTACTATAAAAGCAAAATTTTAAAATTTTCAATTAATGTATATTATTTGGAAAATTTTAAATATGTCATTGAGTTATTGGATCGTTGTCAAATTTTTTAACATTTAAACAACTGTATTGAAAATCATTGAATTTACTGTAATAAAATAATTACAAAAGTTTAAAAAAAATTATAAATTAAGCTCATTAATTTAAATACACATAATATAATCTTTTGTTATATTTTTTTTTTAATAGTGAGAACACCATGAAGATACGATTTTTAACAAATATTATGTATAAATTAATCGTTTTAAAATGTAAATTATAGCTTGTAGATAAATTATGGACATTGAATTGGTTTATTTCATGATATTAATGGATGCTTTCATATAAAGTAATGAATGAAATGGATAATACGTGTATGAATTAATATTAGATTGTATGGTCTATCTTTCTCACGCATGTAAGGTAGATAATCTTCGATTAAGATAGAGGACCACTTTCAACTTCATACTTTTATCCATTTAGATATACACATCCTCTATAATTAAATTTATCAAATGGGGGTTCAATCTAAATAATTTATTATTTTTTAGTAAGACACGTTTATGTATTTTAATATTTTATATTACTTTTTTTTTATTTCAACGGATATATAAAAAATGAATTTATTTTTGGTAGTACATGCCTATCAAAATTAGATGAGTATGGTGAGATATATACAAAATTAATTATAGGGTTATGTGTCGAAATTCATATTGAAATTTCAACTTTTGAAGTTACAATCGGGAGCCGAATCTGATTTCTATGAGCTTGTCTCTAACACTCATGATGACATTGTTGCTTTTAATTTTGACTAGGCCTAAGATTCACTGCACGTAGGGATCACAACCTACTATTATCTTATATGACAGTGACATTTCCTTTCTCTTCAACGTTTATCACAGGACACACTCGCATTGTGAATTGTCACGCTCTCCCTCACAGTGAGGCAAAGTAGATATTAAACAAATAATTATATTTTACTATGAGATCACCAAACTAATGAAACGAGTGAATGCTTGAAAAATTATTGTAATGTAGTTATGAAAAGATAAATGGATTGGGAGTAATTCGTTGAATAAGCGGTGTCGTTGTCCCACATCGGAAAACCGCTGAAGGAAAGGAGCGATGAGGCTATAAATTAACAGGCGAAAGGCCGTAGAACTCACTTACCTGGATGGGGATACTGGACGATCAATAAGGCCCATTTCCTAGGCCCGCGGCCTCCATTGCACGTAGGAGGGGTGCTGGGCTTAAGGCCTGCCCACGTGGTGGAGCCTACATCATAATTTGTGTTAGCGGGGACCTGCGTGCGCGCGGTCCCTTCAAACCATAGTACTAATTTTAACAATTTTAAATTTATTATTAAAATTTGAATATTTAATTGTTTATTTAAATATGGTTATCTTTTAATTTTACTTCCAACTCATGTTTGAAAAAAAATAATCTATTAGTGTATGTATCTTTCAATTGGTGTCTACAGGTTGCGTGATGGGATTTGTCCCAAGGCTGTTGCGGATGGTTTTCGATGCATCTTCAGTGATCAGTGTGCTTTGCTATCAGTCAATGTTTGAGCTAGTACCGAACTGATCCCATCTCCCTTGTTCCCTCCAGAGAGGTTATGGAGTAAGAACGAGACAGTCTCAACCCTGTCGGTGCTACCGCGCTCGAGTTACTTCAGGTGCCTCCTGAACAGGCGCAGAGTTGAGGCTGCTCCGTTCAAGAACATTACACGTTATATATTTTCTATCATGTCATATATGGGATGCAATAGTTAAAGTCTATCAATAGTAGATATTGTCCATTTTAGTTCGTTACGTATCGTCGCCAACCTCACAGTTTTAAAACACGTCTATCAGTGAGACGTTTCCACACCGTTGTAAGAAATGTTTTGTTTCCATCTCCAATTGATGGGATCTCACATAGGAACCGTGAGTTTGAACCCAACCAAATTTTCCAGTTACCTAAAGTGTACACGAAGTTCATTCGGACACTTACGTTTGAAACAGCCGTGTGAATTTAGAGTTAGATTTGAATAGTTTTGATATTATTTATTGGATTTGGTTTGTTGTTGTTGGCACATCAACATCAATGGCATGCCATAATCTTGACGTTGGCTGGACACTTTGCTGACTAAATTTGAAAATTGGTCTTTCTATAGTCCCACAAGAAGTTTCCCTTTTTCCCACTGCACAAAGAAATTATGGTCCTATCCAAATCACAAGTTACTTGAACTTGAAGGAATTCACTTGGAAAACTGTTTAAACCAATCCACACGGCTCTCTTTATGACACACAAACGGTTGGTGCTAGTAGAAGATTTTGGGGAAACAACCTTAAACGGTAGTGATCCTATGCCAACTCGAACATAATTCAAATGTCTTTGATCAAGAGGTTAAAGGTTCGAATATTCATACTTCAGGGTCACATTCACACTCTTGTGATAGTGAGACAAAAATTGTGCGACACTCGTTCTAGCTCAGAAAACAAGTTACAAGTATGACCGTGACACCCTACATGTTTTTAAAGTATTATTTTAGTCGAGCAGTACAGAGGAATTTAGAAGTCAAACCTATCCCATTTATGTTAACTTTACCATTTTTTAGTACAACAAGTAAGGTAAGAGAATTTTAATTTTGATCTTAAAAAAGGTAGTACGTGTAAATATCTCACCACACGATTTCACAGCTCGACTTTTTTTCACTGCTTCCAAGCCCCGTTCTTATTATTAGTAATAAGTTAAGGCACTTGAGCGCTCTATACAATACGGCCGAAAAATCGATCTTAAAATTTTGAAGTGATAATTACATGTATGACCTTTGGGTTTGTCTTGTGTATGAATCAAATGGCATATGAGACAACCAAGTTGACATGCTTTTTGTTTTGTTTAAAAGCTTATTGGTCAGTTGAGGTTAATCTTCTTCTTATGGTCATCTCATCAAGAATGTGGAGAGACTTTTTCAACCATAAATTAAAATAAGAAATTTATTTACATAAAGATTTTGTATACTTTATGATATGAATCCATAAAGTACAAAGAGAATGGTTGAAGAAATGAGTAAGAAGAAGCAATGATTGAATAATGCCAAAATATCCCATGATTTTGTGGTAGAAAATAGCCCCTACCTTTTAAATTTTCTAAATTATAATTTTAGTCCGTCGATGTTCTTCGTAAAAATTTTCAATAAAATTATTAAAATTATCGGAAGACGATCGGTTCTTGTTTTTGTTTTGTTCAATTGGACGTGTTCGACTTGAAAGAACCCATTTTCATTATGATTTATTTTTAAACAAAATGAAATTTATTTTTTAATTTAATAATAATTTAAAATATTTATTTAATTGATCTATTAGTGCCGAATGCTCCAACTCGATGGTTAGGAACCGAATTTTGTGAAACCAACTCGTTTTTGCTTGCGTCCTAAGGCAGTTCTAAAATGGAGCCATAATTAATTTTTGTTTAAATGGAAAATGAGAGTAATAAAATGTGTGAAAGGGCCCAGACATTGAAATCTGGTTAAATGCAATTTTCTCGACCTGTGCTCCTCTTTCCTCTCCACGGCCAGTCTCTCTCTAATTCTCTCTCAGATTATACTAAAACGTCTCTGCTCTGCTCTGCTCTCACTATCTCTTTCAGTCACTCACTTACTCACTCCACTGCACCTCCTCTTTCATTTGATTTTGTAAGTTGCAAATCTAAACTCTTCATCTCTTTTCTCTTTGATTTCATTGCAAACCCTAGAAATCAAGCACTCTAAATTGCTCTCTCTTTTTCAAAGTCGTTGCTCTGACTTTTCTTCTTTTGTAGATTATCGAAGAGTTGTGTGTTGTCAGAGTTTGAGATTTGTTGTTTCTTTGTTGTTCTTTAATTCTTGCAATTTGGTTTCTGGGTTCTTTTTTATTTCATCTGGGAACTATGAAATAAATCGTGGGCATTACTTAATTTAGTTCTTCGAAGTGTTTTCTTTGACTTATTTTTTGTTACTGCCCTTTGGTTGATGGTATTGATGTTGATCTGATATGGGTCTGACTGTTTGATATCTGTTTATATGATTTCAGCGCAATATGTTCATTTTTTTGTCCGGGTGAAAGAAGTTAAATTAGGGTTTCTATACTTTCTTGGGCTTCTTTGAGTTATTGTCTGTGGATTTTGGACGGGCATGGTGGGCTCCGAGGACTCTGGTACTTCTGGGGCCGCGGTGCAGCTCTCTGGCAATCGGAAATTGTTCTGGCGCTCGGCCTCGTGGTCTGCATCACGTTCCTCCCTTCACCATCCGGAAGTGAACAGAGAAGGTGGAGACCCCAATGGGAATCTTGGTGATAGCAGTGGACCAAGCCGAATTTTCCCTGCCCCATTAACTCCAAGGTCGCAGCAGCATTGCAAAGCGAGGTCGTGTTTGCCTCCTTTACAACCTTTGTCCATAGCTCGGCGAAGCTTAGATGAATGGCCGAAGGCGGGGTCGGATGATATTGGTGAGTGGCCGCAGCCTCCTACACCAAGTGGCAGAGGAAATTGCGAGAGGTTGAAACTTGATTTGTCGACAATTCAGAGAAACCCGGATAAGAATTGTGGGCTGGTGAAGAGGGATAAGATTGCTTTCTTTGACAAAGAGTGTTCAAAGGTGGCAGAACATGTATATCTTGGTGGTGATGCGGTTGCTCGAGATAGGGATATACTTAAACAGAATGGAATTACTCATGTGTTGAATTGTGTAGGTTTCGTTTGCCCTGAGTACTTCAAAGATGATTTCGTGTACAGAACTTTGTGGTTGCAGGATAGCCCTTCTGAGGATATTACCAGTATACTTTATGATGTTTTTGACTACTTTGAAGATGTTAGAGAACAAAATGGAAGGGTTTTTGTTCATTGTTGCCAGGGAGTATCGCGGTCGACGTCGTTGGTGATTGCCTATCTTATGTGGAGAGAAGGGCAGAGTTTTGATGATGCATTTCAATATGTAAAGGCAGCAAGAGGTATTGCTGACCCCAATATGGGTTTTGCTTGCCAGTTATTACAATGCCAAAAGAGGGTCCATGCTTTCCCTCTTAGCCCAAGTTCACTGTTGAGGATGTACAGAGTTGCTCCACACTCGCCATATGATCCTTTGCATTTGGTCCCCAAAATGTTAAATGATCCTTCTACCTCATCTCTGGATTCTAGAGGTGCATTTATCATTCATGTACCCTCTGCCATATTTGTTTGGATTGGTAAGAACTGTGAAGCAATCATGGAAAGAGATGCGAGGGGAGCTGTTGTGCAAATCGTTCGATATGAGAAGGTGCATGGGCCTATTTATGTAATTAAAGAAGGGGAAGAACCAACCAACTTTTGGGACTCTTTTGCAAACCTGTTACCTTTAATGGATAAATCTAACAGTAAAATTAATCTTGGGGAATTAAGAACTAAGCCTTATCCAGGGGAAAGGAGAGTTGATTCCTATGATTTAGATTTTGAAATTTTCCAGAAGGCTATTACTGGTGGTTTCGTTCCTCCATTTCCTTCATCTGAGAATGAGCATGAAACCCATCTTCCTGTCAGAGAAAGCAGTTGGAGTATGCTTAGGCGTAAGTTTGCCTCTGGAAATATGAGAGAGTTTGTATCAGCTCCACGGATATCGCTCTCTAGGGTCTATTCCGACTCGTTGATGATGGTGCATTTTTCTGCAAAACCTCCATCGCCTTCAGCAATTTCTTTGTCTTCGTCGTCTTCTTCGCCTATCCATCTTTCGCCAGACTCCCTTTCTTCTGATTCAAGTTCAAGTACCAAGTATTTTTCAGAATCCTCTTTAGATTCTCCTTCTGCTTCTTCACCTACAGTTCAAGTTTCTTCAACTCTATCTAGTTTTTCTAACATGCATCTTATCTCATCCAATAGTTCCTTAGAATCGATGCCCAATGGTCCAGAAACTCGTGATGCAGTCCCTTTGGAATCAAGTTCTCGGTCATTCTCATTCCCATCCAAAAAGTTCTCACCTTCTCTTGCAGAACGCCGAGGTAGTGCAAAATCTCTGACATTGCCTACAATGCCTTGTAAAATCAGAGCAACAAATAGTGCCTCAAGGTTTCTTGCCACTCAAGAAGATGGTAAGAGGAAAAACAAGATTTCTTTCTCTCTTGATGCATCATTTAATATGAAAAAGGGCTCAGAGCCTATGGATAATGTTGAAGATGAACAAACAAGTTCCACTCAGAATTTCAAGAATATCGAAAATGGAATGGATGTACGTGTAGGTTGCATGGCCACGAGCCAGGTCGAAACTGAAGTTGCTGGACAATCAGCTGGTTCATGGAAAAGCTATCCAAAACATTTTGAAGGCGGCATGGTATCCACTGTGTCAAATGGGAAGCAAGATGGTGAGTTTGTCCAACCAATGGTATACTGTTGGCCGGAGTTAGCAAAGATTGCAGCTTTTGACACAAGTTACCTTCATTCTAAAGCTGCCGTAGTGATTTTCTCTCCAAGTAGGTATTTAGGCAAGAAGGATGACATGATGCTGTATATTTGGGTAGGAAATTCTTTTGACCATGATTTATCTCCGATTCAAGTAAAGAGGGACAAAGACTTGGTTGATGTAGAAAAGATAGACTGGGTTAAAGTTGGCCAATATGTGCTTACTGAAATAGGTCTGCCAGAAAACACAGAAATTAAGGTACTTTGGACCGTATTCTTTTGTTTTACTACGATACTTGGATCGTTTTTTTTTTTTGGAACTTCTGCTGTTAATCTAGGAAGGAGGGGAAAAATATTGTTTTATTGCTCTAAATCTTCAAATGCCAAAACTTTGTGGGTGTGGTGCATATATTCGTTGACTGTTTTTCTCCCTAATTCACCCACAATATTTCTGTGTCTAATTCTCGAAAATATGTTCTTCATGGAAATAGAAATGGCCTGGAGTTGTGCAAGGCACCATCTAAATAGTAGTGACAATGAATTGTTCTTTGTAGCTTAATTTTCCTCAACATGTTATGGGTTTATGCCTTTGTTGTTTTTGATCCATTTCCCCATTATATGATGTATGTTTTGATCTTCCCTACAAATTTCTTGTGAAAGCAGATCGTTAAAGAAGGTGAAGAAACAGAGGAATTTCTTGCACGATTGAGTCTTTTGTAGCCCCGCTGCTAAGATACATTCCCTTGATTTGGTAACGAAGATTATTCGATTGTCGAGCTGGCTTAGCAAGCCATGCTACTTAGTCATTTAACGAAAATGAGTGAGGTAAGCATGCTGGACATTGTTTGACTATTTTGATTCTCTGCTGCTGCAATCCTAGCCTTGTTCTCACTTTGTTTTTCTTTTACTGCTTTCTATAGTTTTTAATGGCTTTCTATTGGGTTGGACCATGCACTTCAATGATGGGACCATCCCTTGTTAATTTTTTGAGGGTTGGCCTGATTAGGAATGAATTAATCATGTAGTCTGTTGATAAGGTCGCATAATTTGGAGATAAACTTATCTAATCCTGCCTTAGTCGGTCGACATTACAAAAGAGGGCAACAAAAACAAGAACTAACCAATAAAAGAGCCTTCACAAAACACTTCGTGTCTAAATGAGCCCTTTTAAGTTAGATCATTCTATTTTGTTAGCCTTCTGATGAGTCCATGAGAAGCTGAGTTTTGATTGATTTTTGGACATTGGTTGCTTTGTTTGCAGAAGACGCTTGAAAATCCAAGTCGTTTATAGCAAAAGCCTTAACAAGTTGTACAGAGCTGTAACACCCCACCCCTCCCCGTAATTCATATTTGATCTTGTAAACAGTTTGCTGAAAGGCCCTTGCCCTGCATATGTTATAGACTTTTGGCTTCTTAATAGGATCAATCAAATCTTTCTTTAACTCCTCTTGGCTTCCTTTCTCTTCTCTCAATCTGAAGCTATGTTGAATGTCTATGAATGGAAACCCGACAATCGGGTACCGAGGTTCACATCAAATCCTATTTACACATTTCTTAACTTTCACTCTCATTCAAACTCATTCACGTACTCCTCCTTTATTCCAGTATATAGTATTTATCTTTGCTATAGGCGAATATGAATATGTCTCTGTGTAGTCCCATAAGTTTTAATATGGTCCTTTTGCAACCAATATTGCTTCTAGGCGTTCAATACTATCATCTTCCTGTTGCAACCAACCTTACAAATGACTCCGTTTGATTTAGACAAGCGATGGTTAGACATATAGTTTCTCATGATATCAACTTTACTTGACATTTGTAGATCATTAGACCGAACGAAAATGTTCATATGGTTGTTCAAGGAGATCATGACCTTTTATTGAGAGTCTGAATTTCTTCACATCTCTCCCCCTAAGTTTAGACAGTGAAAACTTGAACCTTGGGAAGGGACCAAATGAAAATTCAAAGCATTTATTTTTCTTATTTAATGATTTTACGGTACAACAGGGGTTTCCAAGAAAAAAGAAATAATGAAGGGTTGCATGCATCATCATACCTATCTCCCCATCCATATTCAGAATCTCTGTAATCGAAGCGTCAAACAAGAAACCAATGAGAACAGTATATTTAGTTCAGGAATGGATGAGTGGATCCTTAGAAACTTCAGAAATTCCTAACAGAAACCCAAGTATCAAACCATGTCTACTCAAAACCAAACTGAAATCCTCGTGCGTTTTAAGCTTGTGATAGACAAAAAGAGGAAGAAAATCCTATATGCTGAAGCCGACAAGAACTTCTTCGGCGTCATCTTCGCCATACTTCGACTTCCTGTTGAAGATGTCGTCAAGCTGCTCTCCACCGGCCAAGACAGCCCCATGGTTGGTTCACTTGGAAGTCTCTACCGCAGCTTGGAGGCCTTGAACATTACATATTATAACCAAACGCAGTTAAATGCCGACCTCCCAACGCCCATTACTCAATCCCAGATCCTAAGACTCTTGCAAAACTATCCTTCTTCAGGACCAAAGACCTATTATACATGTTCTAATACTACTCACTGTTGTTATAGTTTTAGTGCTACATATAATATTCAATGTCCCAAATGCCACTGTAAGATGGCTAGCCCTGCATCATATGTGTACGAACCTAATGAGGCACGACCCATTGTGGGAGATTTTTTGAAAGGGGGGACTGTTACGTACATTGTGATGGATGATCTTACTGTTAAACCATTGCCCTCTTCCACTATCTCCTTGTCAAGGAATGCAACATTCTCTGCTTAATTTATAAATTTATAACAGGAAACAAAGATGAGCATGGGTGCTGACAACTTTTGGAGCTACATGTGAGCTTCACCCTTGTCAAGGAATTTAATGTTGTTTCTGAAATCTATATGAAATCAAGGAAGCTTTGGACCAAACTTCTTTTCAGAGATCTGCTCTGCGTGCTAAGATTGTTGGTTTCCATGGTTTTATTCAAGACGTCATGATGCTATGTCGTCTATTTTTATTTCATTATCAATGTAGTTAATGTCTTCTATGTTTAATCGTCATCTCTCTGTTTTTTGGTTAGGTTATCTTTCTTTCTTAACTACTCATTTGAATTCTATATAAAATTGTTGGTCGAATTCACAGCCACACCCTGTTCTGAAATGGCCTTGTTGAGTAACATTTGTTGGAGTTGTCGAAGAACATGATCGGAATATATTTTTGACTGAAAACCTTAATCAACACGAACCCAAATGTCAAGAAAACAAATTTTATATGCAATTGCCCTGTCCTTGTTTTATTCATTTCGCCGCCGGTGCGTCTCGATTCCGAAGGAAAAAACTTGGAATGAAACGGATTTGCGCTTCTGGTGAACCAATACGTTACAACAGTGTGGGTCGTCTGTGAGACGACGCAAGCATGGCTCACATTGAACGGAGGAGAAGCGAAAACGGCGATGGAAACGACGTCGGATCCATACCCAAAGACCATCCACCAATTCCCAGTCCAGTCTAGTCCAGTAGCCTAGAACCTTTGTACTCGGCCCAAAAACCTACTTTCAAGCCCAATTAGGCCCAACCCACTAAACACTACGCAGCCTTGCGCGTTCGTAGTAACAACCCTTGACCTGCTCCAAGACCTTCCCGTGTGTCAACGCCCTTAAGTTACGCGTGTCAACGTCTTTAAGTGACACGTGTCATTCTGCAGACGCCGAGTCTTTCGGCTCCAGCGGATAGTCTACGTGCAGTCCCCCGGCTAAAAAAAAATGGTGCATTCGGCATGGTTAGACATTTTTGACACCGACCTTTCTGATCTAATTTTGACCTAATAGAGGGAATTGAGGTCAGTATAATGTCCTATTTCCGAAGCTCAAGTTTAAATTAAATTAGAAATGTGAATTAGTAATGAAGCGAGATGGACAGTTTGATACGAAACAACTCCTGACGATATTTGTAGCAACTTTGGAGGATGAATTCAAACTCACATAAAAAACACTGACTAAGGTCAACCAAGTAAGTGGTCTTACTAAGAAAGAGGGAGGTTATGTGAAGGGTGTGGTGAGTTATATGGTGATGGATGACTTGAGGGTGATGCCTATGTCTACCATCTCTTGCGTTACTCTGTTGAACACGTTTAAGGTCAAAGAATTGGATGGTTTGGAGGAGGAACTTGTCACTTTGAATGTGGATGAGGTAACCTATGATGTTTTTTTTTTAATAAATGTTTGGTTTTTGTTGTTTGTTGAGTTGGTTTTGTTTGGTTTTATTTGGTTTTATTTGGTTTAGGGAGTGAAGTTGCTGATTGCTTCTCTTCAATCCAATGCTGTTCTTACAGATGTTTTCCTTGGGGGAAGATAGCGCGACAATACGATTAGAATAATTGTGGGTCTACTATCGACATGGTTGGAAGAGTTGTCTTATGTAAGATGACGCTTGCTCAGTGGTCTCTACAGGTGTCATATGTTTGATATGATTGTTATGTTCAATGATATGATATGTTATGAGATGTCATGTTGCACTATGATATGAATATACTCGATAATGAAATGTTATGACATCCTACCACACGTATGGAAATGAGGGGTTTTATGATACCACACGTATGCATATTGCCTAGTTTAATATATGAGGAATGAACGAGGTTGTGTTGCATGATTTTGCTTAACATGAAAAGTACAGGGACGTCATGCATAATTATATGTTCACATGCATTGGGATACTTCATCTTTATGATGAGTACGAACACATACATTATGAGAATGAGATGATCATCATGTTTGGCATGGTGCACGACGGTCACAATACCTCTAAGTTTTTGGCCAATCTAGAGGAGCTAGCCCAACCAGTTGACCTAGGGGGTGTGCGAGCCGGCCTAGTTGGTCCACGCTCGCACGTGTGGGGTTGTGTATAGAAAGGTACTACACATTCAATTTGAACGAACCTCGACAAGTGCTATCTCCTATCAACGCATCAACTAACCTTTTCACATAATTCAAACTTCCATATAATTGTAGGGGATGGTTGTAAATGTGTTCAAATATTTATGTGCTTTTTGAATACTTTTTAATTCACTTTCATCTTTTTTTTATCCAAATAAAAACAAAAATAGTATTTTCAAACATAAGTATAATAATTATCCGTATGGAATTGGAAGGGGCGGAATAAAATTGGTTGCATGCATGCACATAACACTTATTACATTCTAACCACGCGCCGCCTTTGGAACTTTTCATTTCATTAATGGGGTTGATATCAAAGCTTTATAAATACGTGGTTGATATCAAAGCTTAGTTAGCAATAAGAACAATGGCTCAAAATGGTGTGACAATGAAGCTTCTGATAGACTCAAAAGGGAAGAGAGTAATATTTGGTGAAGCAGACAAGAAGGTGATAGACTTTCTTTTCCATCTACTCTCCCTTCCTCTTGGAACTGCATGCAAGCTTCTCCAAGGTCAAGTCATGGTTGGTAGTTTGGAAAATCTATATAAAAGCGTTGAAACTTTGGACCGAACTTACTTTCAGGCAGATGGGCAGATTAGAGACAAGCTTTTGAAGCCCCAAGTTGTGTCATTTTGTAGCTCTACTATGCTGTTGCCTTGCACTACTGATCCACCACCTTTGCCAACAGTTTATTTTTGTAGTCATCCGAGTTTCTTTAGTAATAGCCGATGCCGCTCTATCTACTCCCATGATCCTAACGAAGACTGTCCATCTTGTGGTTATGAAATGAGCAGACAGCTTGAGTATTTGGAGCCACTAACTGAAAACACGACCAACACAAGTAGTAAGAAAGAGGAAGGTTATGTTAAGGGTGTGGTGAGTTACATGGTGATGGATGATTTGAGGGTCATGCCAATGTCCACTATCTCTTGCGTTACATTGTTGAACAAGTTTAAGATCAAAGATGTGATGCTTTGGAGGAACAACTCGTCACTTTGACTGTCGATCAAGTAACTTATGTTCTTCTCTATAGTTTTGTCAAGGGTTATACATCGTTAAATTATATAATGTTTATTATGTTATTACATGTGAATGTAATTTTTTAATTTTTGGTATCTTTTACATTATCAATATTTTTTTTATTTCCGTGTGATTTTAATATATTCAAATATGATAACTTGACTTTGTTTTTGTTTGATTGTATTTGTCTGGGACTTAAACTTTTGAGAGCTTCTATGCAGTCAAAGACAGTTCTAACAGATGTTTTCCTCGGGAAGAAGATGGCATAATAGTATTATCCGGATTTTTATGTTTGTTTTCGTTGTTTTGATGTTATCTGTTATGTTTGTTTTCGTAGTTTTTGATGTTTTAAGTTTATGGATTTTAGTTATTAATATATCATTATTAAGTGTTAAATTTCTTATATATATATATATATATTTATAAAATTTTAATTTTAATCTATTAAGTATAATTATTGTTTTTTTTTTAATTAAAAAAATAATAACTCAACAACCCAATCACAGTGGAGTGTTATAGTGTAAATTTTATTCCGATTGTTTATGACATCAACTTAGCAGTTGAAATTTTGAATTATTTAAAAATATTTTTTTCAAACAAACTCAATACATTTACCCAAATACAATTTTAAGTTTATATTAAACATAAAATCGGTAGTTATATTTCATAGATTAATTAAGTTTAATATAAGTCAAAATTTTATTAATTATATTAAATATCACAAATTTTTAAGTTTGTGTTTATTTAGTCTTTTAATTTTTTTAAGTTAATATATTCTCAAATATTTTATTTTGTGTGAAGTTTAAGTTTTTTTAGTTAAAAGGTAGTTTGTAAAATTTATTTGATTTATTAAACTTAAATATTATATGGAATGAAATATTTTGTGTATAGTAGATAGGTGAACATTAAAAAAATATATATTTAAAATTTAAAAACTAAAATTTGGATTAAATTGGTAATTTAATTTATTGGGTTTAAATACTGACGTGGGCTGGCAAATTTGATTGCTTTCGACATTCTTGGGCCAAGACCAAAGTTTCAAGAACAAAAGGTCAGGCCCAGTTTCACAATCGACTATCGAAGGCCGTATCTAAGATCTCCCTTTTAGAAACCCTAATTCGGCTGCAACCTCCGTCTCACCATCGTTCTCTTCGAAGGTATGAATCTTGTTCCTTCTTGCCATTGCTGCTAATATTTTCCTCTTTCTTCCTTCCTGCTTTTGGTTTTTCTTCTCATTTTAATTGTTTCTTGTGCGACCAGGTTGATTATTCTGGTCCAGGATCTTCAGCAATGGCTCCTAAAGGTTTGCCCGCATTTTGATTTTGTTTGAATGCGAGATGTTCGTTTATTTCAATTCGTACCTCCATTTGTTTCAATCGAAGTTAGGTGACGTAAATACGTTCCCAGTATTCAAAACCTGGTTTCTGAAATCTACTCTACAACAACTAGTGATTGGTTTACGAGAGTATAGTTAGCTGAAGGGAATAATATCTAGATTTTTTAGTTTATTTGGGATTTAAATCCTCTCTTTTAGGTTGTACTTTTTTCTTGCTTGATGAAAAAAAAAACATCATTTTGAAATGGTTTAGGAAATTTTTGCCATGTTCTTAATGTATTGAATTTACTGGTGGAATCTGAGCTTAATAAACTTCTGGGTAATTTTGAGCTTTGGATGCTCTGTTTCTGTTCTTAATTAAGGGATTTTATCTCATCTTTTGCAGCTGACAGTATCAAAAAGGCTGATCCCAAGGCTCAAGCCTTGAAGACTGCCAAGGCAGTGAAGTCTGGTCCAACATTCAAGAAGAAGGCTAAGAAGATTAGAACTTCAGTCACATTCCATAGGCCAAAGACATTGAAGAAGGATAGGAATCCCAAGTATCCCAGGATCAGTGCTACTCCAAGGAACAAGTTGGACCAGTATCAAATTCTCAAATATCCACTGACCACAGAATCTGCAATGAAGAAAATTGAGGATAATAACACCCTTGTTTTTATTGTTGACATTCGTGCCGACAAGAAGAAGATTAAGGATGCCGTGAAGAAGATGTATGACATTCAGACCAAGAAAGTGAACACTTTAATCAGGTATACATTGTTCATAAATTTCTATTTCAAAGTGTTCATCATCAACTATAATCTAATGGTTGTTGGGGCCTGATTGTGCTTATCATTTGACCCTTCCATCTTCTACCCATGTACAAATTCTCTATTACTGATCCATTATGATGAATGATTGTATGCCCTAATGTATGATCCTACATTCTTCCTGGTACACAGGCCAGACGGAACGAAGAAGGCGTATGTTAGGTTAACTCCAGATTATGATGCTCTGGATGTGGCGAACAAGATTGGTATCATATAAACTGCAGAGCTTGAAGCTGCTAGTATTTTCATTGCAATTGTTACATGTTTAAATTTTGGAGAGCATTTTGCAGTAGGACCCAAGTTTTATTTAGCTTTTTTTTTAGTATGTATTGGTATTTGTTTGCTCAGAATACATGGAATGATGGATTATGAATTCCGATAATTTTCTTTGTAGTTTGCTTCAGACTCCATTATGCCATTACTGAATTTTGGTCTTTACAGCTTCTTTTTGGTTTCTTAATTTATGGAATGCAAGTCTTTGGGGATCAATATGTTCTATTAATACCAATATAATAACATTATTTTAATTGGTGCAGATAGTGGGTCCTTCCCAAGTGTAGTAGGTCACCCCTTGAGTTCGTTGGCTTCTTCCTTGAATGAAGCAGTGTATCTGGGTCCTTCCTAATCTAAGTTAATTAATAAAATGTAGAGCGAAATTAATTTTTACCATAAACTTTTAATTTCATCTTATTTTTCATTGTAATTGAAAAGATGTATGAAAAAACATTCTTATGCATTGAGTATATATTGTCTGTTTTAGTTTGTTATGTATCGTTGTCAGCCCTACAATTACACATTTACTAGGTTGAGGTTTGAGGTTTTTATGCCTTTATAAGAAATGTTTATCTATCCGTATGAGTTATATAATATTTTAGTTTAATGGTATTTTTTTTGTTCTCGAATTCACAATTAATTAAAAAAATAGAAATAACATATAATTAAAATTAAAAAAATATATATGTTTAGAAGTAAAATAGATTTATAAAAAAATGATGATGAGTATACCAACAAAATAATAATAATAATAATAATAAAAGTGAGATAATTCAATCCCTACTCTATTTACAAATTTATGCTTTTAAAGATATAAATAATTAACATGTACTCTACCTGCATTTGCTGTACTAAAAAAATATATATGTATAAACAATTAAATTACATACTAATTATAAATTGTTTATGCAACTAAAATCATACTTCTTATTAATATAATCACAATATAACAACAAGCACCAGTGGTCTAGTGGTAGAATAGTACCCTGCCACGGTACATTTATTTATTTCAAATGTATAAATAATTGAAATCTTGAAGTCGAATGTTAAATCTTTATATTCTAGTACTAAAAACAAATACATTATTAATAATCTATGTATTCCAAAGTATATACCTAAATTACTTAAATTGTTATTTATTAAAAGTCGCAAACTAAATTGTCATTAATACAAAAGTACGGTAATTAAGCAATCATGAACAGTGAGAATCAGCTTATTATATTACTAAAATCGTTTCTAACAAAATAATAATAAAAATGCACATTAACTTTATAATTTATCTTAGAAAATTCTTATAAACTTTGAAACGTTTCAATAAAAATCTAAGTTCCAATTGAAGAGGAGGTGTGATCAAAGCTTAGACAATCAAATTAAAAAAATAAAAGAAGAAAAAATCATTTTTTATCAAAAACTTTAAATGATTTAAATAATATAATCACAATATTTCAACAAGCACCAGTGGTCTAGTGTTTGAATAGTACCCTGCCACGGTACAGACCCGGGTTCGATTCCCGGCTGGTGCACTCACGGTCTTGCGGTGAAGAATTTAGCGTTGCCTGTGATCAGGGTCGATCACTACCGTCCGATTTTCTGGCGAAACTATTAGCGCATCCGAGCTTGACCTTTATTTTTAAAAAAAGTTTGGTCGAAATTTAAATTATGGCTAAACCTCAACGATCAATGATTAGAACAATTAAATTAAGATATAAACCTCAGGCGCTGGAAATAGGTTTTAGTGGGTAAAATCGTAGAACTCTCGAACTCGAATTTCAGTAGACCCTTATGGTTTGCTTCTTTGGCTGATTTGATCTCTGCTTCCATTTATGATTCTGCAACTGCGAACATGGTTTTGTCGAAACAAAAAGTCGAAGCAGAAATTGAGAGAAAAGCTAGCCGAATCGTTAATTTCATCAGTCGCCGGCAAACACTCCAACGCTGATGCTTCCGGTGAACCGGATACAGAATCTCGGCGAGAAACCCTCAAGAGCTATTAGGAACCGCTACTCGCCATGGACCTAGATTGTCCAAGCGAGAGAAACGAAGAGAATCGGTAATTTTCACAGCGTCGGATGGGAATAAGGATCAGAAGAAGGAAGAGGATAATGAGAAGGCCAAGAAGTTGAAGAAAAAGAAGAAGAAGAGTAATAAGAAGACAAAAAGTGGTGAGGAGGAGAAGGAGAAGCAGGGAGATGTAGCTGGGAATGAAGTGAAACGGCAGCTTGAAGAAACTCAGAATAATATAGGCAGGTAGTTCATGTTCATCTGTTATATATCTCAGTAGCTTAGTATTTCCTTTCGAACTCTTAGATTGAATGACATTGATGAACTATGATTAATTCATTATGAAGTTTTCTGGAAATGGTTTGTCTGTGGTTATTTACTGTTAATGCTCGAGGAGGAAGAAACTGTATTACTAATATGAAATTGTTGATTAAGGAATGACTTGTGCTTGATGAAGCTTCAAATCTCTTTCTCTTGTGTTAGTTCCTTTGTAGATATTGTGTACACAACAATGCCTAAAGAGCTAATTATGTGTTTAATATACTGATCTGAGGAATTTGTAATGGTATCACGTCTTAGTCCAATCTGTATTATCCAGACTGATAGATGCATTAGTGCTGCCCCCTCCCTCCCTTTTGATCACATAAATTTACTTGTGTTCTTGCTGTTGAACACAACTCACTGTGGGAAACACTCGCACTCTTTATTAAGACCAATCGAGAAGAGAATACAAGACACTCGGTAGAATACTTCTGCTTTTTATTGTTTTTAGATTTCTTAGATGAATAACCTAGGTAGGGTGGAGAGGTATTTATACTAAGAGTAAACAATCTATATTTAACCAATCTAAATCTAGACCTAACCGATTTGAATCTAGACCTAACAAATTGAATCTTTCTCCTAAAATATCTACATCTCTTTCTCCTAAAGTCTCTACTAAAATAAATATACTGGGCTCGTACAATTAGGCTTGACTCTATTGGGCTAGTACAATTATTGGGCTTGACTCTATTGGGCTAGTGATGATATTTCAACACTCCCCCTCAGCACTAGTCCTCATTCGCTGCACCATGTTGAGGTGACAGCGAAAACTCTCATGTTTGCCAGTATTCAGCCCTTTTGTAAACAAGTCTGCCACTTGGACATCTGTCTTGATTTGCTGCATCTTGATCTCTTCCTTTAGGACCTTCTCTCTAATGAAGTGGTTGTGCACCTCCACATGCTTTGTTCTAGCATGAAACACCGGATTTTCTGCAAGGCGAATCGCAGATTGATTGTTGCAATAAAGTGGTATTGGATACTCAATTTTCTGGTGCCAATCTTCCATCAAAAGTTTTAAGCATGTATTTTCCTGAGTTGCTCCAGCTGCTGCTCTGTACTCTGCTTCTTTAGTTGACAATGATATTGTTTGTTGTCTTTTGTTACACCAAAAAATTGTTCTTGAACCGAGCTTGAACACATACCCAGTGATTGATCTTCGGGTATCGTGGTCTCCTTTGACATATCTTAAGGTCGGTCGAGCTGTATCTAAATAAGGCTTCTTCAGATTTTGCATATATTGATCAAAGACTCCAACTTCATTTTCGAATTTTTTCGGTTGGTCCATGTAGAACTCTCTGTTTAACTCTCCCTGCAAGAAAGCATTATTCATATCCATCTGCCATAATTTCCAATCTTTATTTACCGTAAGTACTGGAGGAACTTGTACGATAATGATCTTTGCCACTGGCCTAATCGTTTCATCATAATCTAGTCCATATTCTTGAGAGAACCCTGAATCTATAGTCTGAGCTTTGTATCTCACGATTGATCCATCCGGGGTACACATTATTTCGTAAGCCCACTTGCAAGAGATGAGTTTGGTATCTCTTGGTCTTGACACTAATTCCCAAGTCTGATTTTGTTCTAGGGCTATAGTTTCTTCCTCCATTGCTTTCTGCCAAGCTGAGTTTTGTGATGCTTCTTCATATATCTCTGGCTCATTAACTTCGTCTTCTACTGCGTTGGCATACTCTAGATTTTCCTTTAGGATTATTTCTGAATGTCTGAGTTGTTGAGGTGTCATTTCATTTTCACTAGGCTCGCTTGGTTGAGTCACTTCTTGCTCGCCAACACTAGTGTCACTTGAATCTTCAGGCATATCAGCACTTGAGCAAATGTGTACAATTTGCTCCCCCGTCTTTTGTGGAAGAATCTCTTCAGTTTGCTCCCCTATGTTCTGGAGAAGAATCTCTTCAGTTTGCTCCCCTATGTTCTGGAGAAGAATCTCTTCAGTTTGCTCCCCTATGTTCTGGAGAAGAATCTCTTCAGTTTGCTCCCCTATGTTCTGGAGAAGAATCTCTTCAGTTTGCTCCCCTATGTTCTGGAGAAGAATCTCTTCAGTTTGCTCCCCTATGTTCTGGAGAAGAATCTCTTCAGTTTGCTCCCCTATGTTCTGGAGAAGAATCTCTTCAGTTTGCTCCCCTATGTTCTGGAGAAGAATCTCTTCAGTTTGCTCCCCTATGTTCTGGAGAAGAATCTCTTCAGTTTGCTCCCCTATGTTCTGGAGAAGAATCTCTTCAGTTTGCTCCCCTATGTTCTGGAGAAGAATCTCTTCAGTTTGCTCCCCTATGTTCTGGAGAAGAATCTCTTCAGTTTGCTCCCCTATGTTCTGGAGAAGAATCTCTTCAGTTTGCTCCCCTATGTTCTGGAGAAGAATCTCTTCAGTTTGCTCCCCTATGTTCTGGAGAAGAATCTCTTCAGTTTGCTCCCCTATGTTCTGGAGAAGAATCTCTTCAGTTTGCTCCCCTATGTTCTGGAGAAGAATCTCTTCAGTTTGCTCCCCTATGTTCTGGAGAAGAATCTCTTCAGTTTGCTCCCCTATGTTCTGGAGAAGAATCTCTTCAGTTTGCTCCCCTATGTTCTGGAGAAGAATCTCTTTAATTTGCTCCCCCATGTCCTGGAGAAGAATTTCTTCAGTTTGCTCAAGGCGTGGTAATACTTCCTTCTCTAAGGGCCACCCCTCTTCCATTGCACCGTTTTGATCGTCAATCATGTGGTTTAAGCATCCTGAATCAATGATCCATTCATCCTCATAGTTGATATGGTCTTCCATTGTCGCCATGAGTGCTAGCTCGTCTTCTTCTATGG